TTTCGTGGCCCCATAAGGAGCTTCACGTAAGGCCCCAGTGGGGGTACCACATGTGTCTGCTGCACCCAGTACAGCGTTTGGTGGCCCATAGGGAGCCCCACCCAAGGCCCTAGTGGGGGGGGGGCCACACGCGTCCGCCACACCTATTACAGCGTTTCGTGGCCCCATAGGGAGGTCCACCGAATGCTCCAGAAAAAGGGTGTGGCCACATGCGTCCGCCACACCCAGTACAGCGTTTCGTGGCCAGTGGGGCCGTCCGCATGCGTCCCGCACACACAATTTAGTATTTCCCCTCACCCAGTACAGCGTTTCGTGGCCCCAATAGGGAGCTCCACCGAAGCCCCCAGTGGGACCGCCCACATGCGTCCCACACACTTAATTTCGCAGTTTCAACCACCCAGTACAGCGTTTCGTGGCCCCATAGGAAGCTCCATCGAAACCACCAGTGGAACCGCCCGCATGCGTCCCAATTTGGCTTTTCCACCTACCCAGTACAGCGTTTCGTGGCCCCATAGGGAGCTCCGCCGAACCCCCAGTGGGACCGTCCGCGTGCGTCCTGGAAGCCCAATTTGGCATTTTCACCCACTCAATGCAGCGTTTCTGGCCCCATAAGGAGTTCCATCGACGGCCCCAGTGCTACCGCCCGCATGCGTTCCCCCCCACCCAGTGTAGCGCTTCGTGGCCCCATAGGGAGCTTCACCGAAGAAGATAGTCACAATTGCGGTACCCACAACCGTATATGTGTTTTCGCAGTCGTTTCGTCAAACAGATAGAATCCAAGGAACCCCGGAAATGTTTAAACGAGCTTGGTATGGCACTAACGGACGAGGGTGGAGTTGTCCGTGGCCCCCAGAGAGTTGTAGGCTGCCTGTGCCCCGTGGTCTCGCAAGTGTTCTTCCGCGCGGACGAGACGCGTGAGCTTGCCCGTGGTCCGTGCCCCGTCCGCAGCTCCCACGCAGTGCCCCACTGTTCCGTAGCCTCTCGCGCGGCCGATGGCCTTCCCAGTGGCCGGCGGTCCTTCGATGGCCGGCCCCTCGTTCCATGGCCGTGCTCATGCGCGGGCCCCGCGGGCCACGGTCGCTCCCTGAACTGCTCCTGCTGCACCCCGTCCTCCCTTCGGCCTGGCCCTCCCTCCTCCTCCGCCGCCGTTGTCCTTCAGATCGCAGCCGTCTTGGCGCGTGGCGACTCGCCGCGTGCCAGAGCCCGGCGCGCTGCCGGAGTCCTCCGGCCAGCTCGGCCACGGCAGCGACGAGGGCCACCGGCGCGACAAGCCCGACGGACTGCCGGAGGCTCTCGGCCAGCTCGGCGGCAGGCGGCGGCGACCGTGGCGAGCCCGGCGACCTCCTGGGGGCTCTCGCGTGCGTCGGAGAGGCACGGCGGTCGCGCGACGGCGGCGTTGGGTTCCGCGGTGGTCGGCCGCTGGTGGCGCGCCCCCGCGCCCCGCGCGTCAGGTTGCCGACGGCCGATGGGTGGCCAGACGTCTTCACGCGACTGCCTCCTAGGCATCCCCTGCCCTCGAACCAGATTTCGCGTCAGACTGTGCAGCCAGCGGTGCCGAAGATAGTGACCACCGGATGGACCATCCGACTGCAGGCCGCGGTGCCATGGACGCCGCAGCTTCTTCCGTGCCAAGAATCCGATCCTATTGAGCACTTCGAGGTGCGGGTTGCTGAGCGCGAACTTGGATCATCCGGCGAGGTTGTCTCATCCTCTTTGCCAGGGTCAGATCGTCAGCACGACGTGTCTTGAGTGCCAACGCTACAGAAGGAGGCATCGATGGGACTGATTTCGCGGCACATGGGTTCGGCCGTGGCGTGCGCGTGCCATCATGTGGGGCGGGACTGCTGGCGCCGCGTTGAAGCATCGGTCGTGAACAAAGCAGGTGATGTCAAGCTCGTTGCGTATGTTGATTCTGGTACTTACGACGTTGTGGGCTCGAGGCTGCTCGCCCGATCCTCGTGGAGACCAGTGGCGAGGAGCGCCCCCGTCGCCGTCGAGTCCTCCGACGGCCCCCAGGGCGCGGCCGTCGTCCAGCAGGTCGAACATGAACTGGATCAGCGACGACTGCCAGAGATATTTCGCGGCGCCACGAAAGTGGAGCGTTCACCGAGCGCCGTCGGGGCTGTGCTCGAAGTCCAAGACGCTGGGCGCCATGTGGTTGGAAGCTCGCGCGCTCTTCCGTGGTGCGCGGCTCGGTCCACGGGCGAAGCTCTTCTGGCGTGTGTTAGGCAGCTGGATGCTGAGCCCCAGCATCGAGAGGATCGAGGAGCGCTGGCCAGTCGCGCGCCCGCTGGCGCTCGCAGCATCGGGGGGGGGGTGCGCGAGGGCGCGACGGGCGTCTCAGTGCTTCAGCTGCCACCGCGCAGCCTCTTGGCCCTGATCTGCGGTCGGGCGACGGGCGCGGCGCGGGCCGCGGCGCGGCTGCGCTCGCTCGCCCGTCGGAGCTCGCGGCGGGCGGTCGCCCGTCGCGCGGGGGGCGGCGCTGCCGAACGCGCGCGCAGCGTCGGCCGACGCGGGCGGCGGCGCCGTCCAGTCGGGCTGCTGGCCGACGCCGGGCTCGTCGCGCCGAGCGCGCGTCTCTATGTTCGCGTAGGGCTTTCCATGGCTCGCCCGCGCTCGTGCCGCAGGCGCGCGCGCGGGCGCCGAATGCGCGGCGCGTTTCGCGCCTGCGCCGCCGCGGCGCCGACGCGTGCAACGTGGCGCGTCGAGCGAGACAGGCCCGCTTGTCCTCTGGCTTTGTGGCGTGGCGTCGCTCCGGCTCAGACCAGTGCCTTCGGCTGCGTTCGCTGTCGCGCTGCTTGCCGCCGCTGATGATCTATCTTCCGCTTCGGTCTCGTCGCCGTCGCTGGGCGCGTCGGTGAGCGCGGCTTCGATAGGTTCTGCCGTGGGCCCTGCGGTCCGTCTGGGCAGTTCGCGGCTCACTTCTTTGCGGCGTGTGGGCAGCGCGTTGCCTTCGATGGGTGCGGGCGCGGTTCCCCGATGATTTTGGCCGAGCCAGGCCCGTCGCCATCTCTCGTACCTGTTTGGGGGCAGCGCGCTGCAGGATGGCGCTGCCGCGCGCTCCTCAGGTTGGCATTATGCTTTCGTAAGGACTAGAGAGCATCAGCATGTTGCAATGTCGCCCACCCTCCCCCCCGCGCCGTTCCGCGCTTTCCGATTTCGGGGTGCGTCAGGAAGTCGCCAAGACAATGTCTGTGCACCCTGGCCCTAACCCCGCCCTCCATGGCGCGGCCTCCGCAGAACAAACGCAAACAAACCATGTGCAGATGAGCGCGAAGCCGCGAGCCCCTCCCCCTGCAGACGTTTCGGCAGCGCCGTTGCCGCGTCGCCTGGTGGGCTCGGCCAGCTGATGCCGCGCGTGCGCTCGTCCGCTTGGGTCCGCCATCGGGCGCGCCAGGCCGCTCCAGCGGAGTCGCGTGCGAACCTTGCGTCTGCCGCGCGGGGCGCGCTGGGCATGGTCGGCGTTGCGCGAGGTTGCCCAACCGTCGACGCTGCGCGCCCGCGGGTTGCGCTGATCATGTGCGCCCGCCCCGCTGCTCAAAGGTTGCCGCGCAATGCGATTCGGTCCCGCTTTATCCCTTCGCCCTCAACATCTAGCCTGGTCCTGTCGACGTGAAGGGAACCTGCTTCGAGGGTCAGGCGGCATCTTGCCGGATCCTGCGGCCTCGCTCCACGCCTCCAGACAAGCTCCTGCGCTCGAGCCTCGAAGCCTCCGACCCCTTGGGCCCATCCAGTGGGTAGGGTTGGGACGCCTGGCAGTAAGCACTCCTCTTCGGCCGTCTCTAGCAGATGCGCCTCGATCGAGGACTCCCGGAGGCCACCGTCTACTGGTGCCCCCGTTTGGCCCGAGGGGCGGCTGCGCGCACGAGCTGTCCGCGTCGAGCGGAGGAGCGGCCGCCGTGCGACGTGGCAGGCTCGTGGGCGATCGGGGCAGGTTCGAGGTCGGCCCCTTCCCTTGATTTGCTGCCTCCCGTTCATCCCCGTCCGATTCGATGGCGGGCGGAACAAGGGGGGGGAAGACCGCTGGGGCGTCGGGGTGTTCAGCCGGCGCGCCGGCCACGCCCACATGCTGTCAGTGTTTTCCTCCGCAGCCCAGCTTCCAGATCTCTCCCTGGCATCATATCGTGAAAACCCTCCGGCCGGGGGCTCGAGGCGTCTGGGAGGAAGGGAATCGAAGGGGAAGGTTTCTGCTCCCCCCGGGACGCCCCCCAGACCCCCAGCGGGGGACCCCCCCGAGGACCCCGCCCCACCCACCCCTTGACCACCCCTCCCCTGCGGGCAAGGGATTAAGGGAATGGGGCTTGCCTTCGACTCTATGACGACGTTGCTCGATGTCTCTTTGGCTGGGACGTTTGACGAGCAGGGCCCACGGACAGGGACAGGGGGGAGCGGTGACGGCGACGACGACGACGACGACGACGACGACGACGACGACGACGACGACGACGACGACGACGACGACGACGACGACGACGACGACGACTCAAAAGGAAAATCTCTCCTACATGCCAATAGGCCGGCGGATTGTACAAGGGTCGCTAGCACCCTTTTTCATAGATGCCCTCCAGAATCATACGAAGCTTTCTTATGAGCCTCCAAGGTGCCAGTCCCTTCTAAGAAGCCCCCACCTCCGTGTCGCACCGATCGGCCTGGGTTGCGGCCTGCTCGCAGCGTGCTCGCAATTCGGCCGAGACTCGTTCGACATCCCCTCGTAGCCCAAAGCAACTTGCACTGCTCTCCGACGGCCTTCTGTCAGCTCATTGCTAGCTTGGGGGTGGCTGTTTTTTTGTGTTTGTGTGCCGAAGAGTCGCCAGCAGCCTTCCTCTGAGATGCCCTCCTGAATCATAAAAGGCCTTTGATATTCCTTTGAGAAGGGGTTGATCCCTTCCAACAACCGGCCCCCCCCCGCTTTGTGCCATACCGATCGGCCTGGGTTGCGGTCTGCCCGTAGCGTGCTCGCAGTCCTCGTAGCCCACTAGCAGCCCGCACGCTGCTCTCCGATGGCCTTCTGTCAGCTCATCGCTAGCTTGCTTCGCTGGCCTCCTGGGAGCTGCGACGTTGTCTTTCGAAGAGAGGGGTTGAACTCCTGGTCCAGTTTCTGCAGGGATTGTCTAGGATTACTTCGTTTCCTGGGCGCGGGTCCCGGTAGCGTTCCTCCCTGCTCTCTGCTCCCCCCTCCCACCCGGGCCGAGGAGCGCCGCCTGACGGACACCACCATGGGCGACGACACGACGAGCGCCGCGCCTCGCACTGGAAGCCCAGGCACCGTGCTCCTGGCGCTCCTCGCCTTCCTCTACGTGGGCAGCGCGGCGGGTGCGGCGCTGGACGAGTCCACCACCATGGCCGACGAGCGCCGCCTGACGGACACCACCATGGGCGACGACACGACGAGCGCCGCAGCTCGCAGTGGCGCCCTTGGCACCATGCTCCTGGCGCTCCTCGCTTTCCTGTTCGTGGGCAACGCGGCTGGGGCGGCAGTGGACGAGTCCACCACCATGGCCGACGAGCGTCGCCTGACGGACACCACCATGGGCGACGACACGACGAGCCCCGCGGCCCCCCGCGCGGCGTTCCGGACGGCGCCGCTGTTCGCCCTTGCTGCGGCGCTCGGTCTTGCAGCCCATCGCTAAGCTCTGAAAGGGGCACGCTTGTAGCAGACTGTCTTCCAGGCTTCCAAGCCTTCCCTCCCAGCGGGCCTGGATCTCGACCGCCGCCTTCGCCCTCACTAGCCCCCCGTCGGCTTTTACCTACAGCTTTGCTTTCCCTGCCTCCGCTCGGCTCCTGTCCCCCATCATGCCCTCTCTGCGCTGTGGTGGTCGAGGATCCGTGCCCCGCAGTGAATTCCATTCAAGCCACCCCTGCTTTGGTGCAGCGGCAGGGAGCCCTCGCAAAGGCCTGGGCTGCGGCCGAGGCATCTTCTCTGGGGGCGGCCAATCCTCGATGTCGTGGTACCCGTCCCTCGCGCATCTGAAGAATTCGGTGCCAGACTTCAAGAGTTCCGTACCGGATTTTTTGCTACGGCACGTGGTCGCAGCGGCAGCGAGTGCTGGGTCCGCCTGCCACATCAAGCGCAGATTTCGGATGCCCACACCAGATGCCTGCGGATCAGCCACAGTGCCACCTTGCCCGTTGAAGAAACTGCATCATCTTCGAGCATGTGACGTTAGAGGTGGAAAGCCTGTCGATACCGAGGTCTTCCCCTTGCTTCTGCCTCCTTGGACATCACTGGGACTGGCCATCGTTGCCACGGCTGTATTCGCCTTGGAATCTTGAGACGCGAGCGCGGACCCAGCGTAATGTTCGGGTGATCGCGGCCCTGGGAGCACGGGGCTGGTTAGTGTACTCGACAGAGGACCGCAGCCTTGGGAGAGCGGACTCAGGGTGATTTGCGAGAGGTCTCTGGGAGCGCGGATCCAACGTGATTTACGCGGCATCGCGGGGAGCAATAATGGCAATGAGCCCTCACGACCGTGGTTTTGGGAGGCTTCTGGGCGCCAGTGGGGGGACTTACATGTCCATTCCAAATCTCTTCCAGCACAGCCACGCGGAGGCCATTGCAACAACACGTTTGGAGGTCCCATTGGGGGAGGCCGCCGGACAACAGGAAGCGCGCTGAGATTCGAAGAGTCGCGGGATGGGCGGCGTTCTCTAGCCCGGGTGGACCTTCTACGTATCAGGGGAGGTCTGGGAGGGGAGTGGTTCGGGAATCCTACGCGATCGGGACGTGGCGGATGACGGGAAGTGTGCTTATACTCGAGGTGTCGCGCGATGGACGTTGATCGCCGACTTGGAGGGACATTATCTAGGTGCCTGCGGCGACTTCACCACCGTGCTACCGAAGCACTCTGTGTGGCGAACGTCATTACATGTGATGCCTCTCGGCTCCTTCTCCTGATGAGCTCCCATGGGGACGAATTGGGCCGTCTTGTGGCTGTCTTGTGCTCCGGATAGCACCAATCGGAGTTCGGTGGCAAATGGCCAGAGGAGGCCGAGTCGCCCAGCAGCCCGACGATGGCATTCAACCGTGCCATCAGAGTTGCTCAGCGGCCCTCCTCGACTGCCCCGCCCCACGGCGACGCTGCTCCGCTCGCCACGAGGGCCGAGATAAGGCCGTTGGCATTCCCCACCCACGGATTTCACCGTGGCCTTGGGAGGCCATCAGTTGGCTTGTGCTCCCGTTGGGCAGTCTCGGGGGTCCCTTGTGGCTTTCTTGGGCCGTCTTGGGGGACCTATTGAGCCGTTTTGTGGTCTTGGGGCTCCGTATGCCGTCTGAGGGCTCTCTTGGGGCCGTCGTAGACCCGCCTGGGGACCTTTGTGGCCGTCCAGGGTACTTCTCAGGCCGTCATGTGTGCCTCTGGAGGCTCTCTTGGGCCAGCTTGGGGCCCCCTGGGCCGACTAAGGGGCCTTCTTGGATCTTCGACCAGCGTGCCTGGACTGGTCCGGGGGCCTCTTTGAAGCCTCCTGGGATCTATTCGGCGCTTCCCTGGAGCTGTTGGGTGCCTCTCGAGGCACGGCTGGGCCATCTTGGCGGCCTGGGTGACCCTCCCCGACCGTCGCGGAAAGCCTCTCGCAGAGACTCGCTCGGAGAGTTCCATGGGAAGGCGTCGGCGCGCCCAGGGGTCCTCGGCCGGGGGAGGGGTGCACGCAGAGCTGTGTGAGAGGAGGAGAGGGGGGGCTTGTCGCAGGCTTGCGAACAGAAACCCAGCCGGGCAGCACTCGGTATTCTGTAGCGCCTCAGTGTGCCAGAGTGGTCCTTCGCGTGCAGCTGCGGAGGTCTTGGATGGGGACTGTGCCGATGTCGCTCGCGACTGCGGCCGCGACCGCGACGTCGAATTCTGCTGCTGCTGCTTGTCCTCAGGCCTCCGGCATACCAGGCTTCGTCTGCGCACCCTCGGCCTCTGCCGCTCCGCCCCCTGCCGCGATGAGCCGCGTGGTGCTCGCCGTGTTCGCCCTCCTTCTCTCCATCCATGGCTGCGTCGCCGATGAGCAGACAACGACCATGGAGGACCATGGTGGAGTGCCGTAGGTGTAGGCATGGACAGAGATTCGGTCCCGCTGGATCTTATCGTGGCATCTAGCCTGGTCCTGTTGACGTGAGGGCACATGTATTCGAGGGTCGCGGAACAGGGGGGGAAGATCGCTGGGGCGTCGGGGTGTTCAGCTTGTGCGCTGGCCGCGCCCGCGTGCTGCCGGTGTCTTCTCTGCGAGCTGGCCCCACCGCGGCCTCGCTTCTAGATCTCTGGCGCTTCACCATGCAATTGTCGCCATCACCCTTCCTCTGAGCTGCTCTCCCTCACCACAATAAGTTTTGAAGAAGCCTCTAAGAAGGCGTCGATCCCTTCTGGAAAAAACCTTCCTCCATGGCGCACCGGTCGGCCTGGGTTGTGGCCTGCTCGCAGCGTGCTCGCAGTTCGGCTGAGGCTCGCTCGGCACCCCTCGTAGCCCAATAGCAGCCCGCACGCTGCTCTCCGATGGCCTTCTGTCAGCTCATTGCTAGCTTGCTTAGCTGGCCTCCTGGGAGCTGCGACGTTGTCTTTCGAAGAGAGAGGGTTGAACTCCTGGTGCAGGTTCTGCAGGGATTGTCTAGGATTACTTCGTTTCCTGGGCGCGGGTCCCGGTAGCGTTCCTCCCTGCTCTCTGCTCCCCCCTCCCACCCGGGCCGAGGAGCGCCGCCTGACGGACACCACCATGGGCGACGACACGACGAGCGCCGCGCCTCGCACTGGAAGCCCAGGCACCGTGCTCCTGGCGCTCCTCGCCTTCCTCTACGTGGGCAGCGCGGCGGGTGCGGCGCTGGACGAGTCCACCACGATGGCCGACGAGCGCCGCCTGACGGACACCACCATGGGCGACGACACGACGAGCGCCGCAGCTCGCAGTGGCGCCCTTGGCACCATGCTCCTGGCGCTCCTCGCTTTCCTGTTCGTGGGCAACGCGGCTGGGGCGGCAGTGGACGAGTCCACCACCATGGCCGACGAGCGCCGCCTGACGGACACCACCATGGGCGACGACACGACGAGCCCCGCGGCCCCCCGCGCGGCGTTCCGGACGGCGCCGCTGTTCGCCCTTGCTGCGGCGCTCGGTCTTGCAGCCCATCGCTAAGCTCTGAAAGGGGCACGCTTGTAGCAGACTGTCTTCCAGGCTTCCAAGCCTTCCCTCCCAGCGGGCCTGGATCTCGACCGCCGCCTTCGCCCTCACTAGCCCCCCGTCGGCTTTTACCTACAGCTTTGCTTTCCCTGCCTCCGCTCGGCCACTGTCCCCCATCATGCCCTCTCTGCGCCGTGGTGGTCGAGGATCCGTGCCCCGCAGCGAATTCCATTCAAGCCACCCCTTCTTTGGTGCAGCGGCAGGGAGTCCTCGCAAAGGCCTGGGCTGCGGCCGAGGCATCTTGCCACGCCGTCCGTCTCCGTGAAAGATGAGGACCAGGAGGCTTGACATTTTTCAGGTCCGCGAGGGACTCAGACTGCGGCGTGCGGTTGGTCACGGGCCATGTCAAGTGTAGACTTCGGGGGAGGCCAACCTCAGTTGCAGCGGCCTTCGCAAAGGCGCGGGCCGCTGGCTTCCCTGGGGGCGGCCGATCCTCGATGTCGTGGTACCCGTCTCTCGCGCATCTGAAGAATTCGGTGACGGACTTAAAGAGTTCCGTACCGGATTCTTTGCTACGGCACGTGGTCGCAGTTGCAGCGAGTGCCAGGGTCCGCCTGTCACATCGAGCGCAGATTTCGGATGCCCACACCAAATGTTTGCGGATCAGCCAAAGTGCCACCTTGCCCGTTGAAGAAATTGCATCATCTTCGAGCATGTGACGTTGGAGGTGGAAAGCCTGCCGATACCGAGGCCTTCCCCTCGCTTCTGCCTCCTTGGACATCATTGTGACGGACCGGCCCTCGTTGCCACGGCTGTATTCGCCTTGGAATCTTGAGACGCGAGCGCGGACCCAGCGTGATGTTCGGGTGATCGTGGCCCTGGGAGCACGGGGCTAGTGTACTTGACTGAGGACCGCAGCCTTGGGAGAGCGGACTTAGAGTGATTTGCGAGAGGTCGTGGCTCTGGGAGCGCGGATCCAACGCAATCTACGCGGGATCGCGGGGGGCAATAAACGAAAGGAGCCCTCACGACCGTGGTTTTGGGAGGCTTCTGGGCGCCAGTGAGGGGGCTTACAGATGGGGGTCATTTATGGCTACTGCAATCTCTTCCAGCACAGCAGCTACACGGAGGCCAATGCAACAATACGTTTGGAGGCCCCATTGGGGGATGCCGCCGGACGACAGGAAGCGCGCTTAGACTCGAAGAGTCGCGGGATGGACGGCGCTCTCTAGCCAGGATGGACCTTATACGTATCAGGGGAGGTCTGGGAGGGGAGTGGTTCGGGAATCCTCCGCGATCGGGACGTGACGGATGACGGGAAGTGTGCTTATACTCGAGGTGTCGCGCGATGGACGTTGATCTCCGATTTGGAGGGACGTAGTGATGTAGGTGCCTGCGGCAACTCCACACCGTGCCAGCGAAGCACTCTGTGTGGCGAACGCCATTACATGTGATGCCCCTCGGCTCCTCTTGATGAGCTCTCATAGGGACGAATTGGGCCGCCTTGTGGTTCTCTTGTGCTCCAAATAGCACCTGTCGGAGCTCGGTGGCGCATGGCCAGAGGAGGCCGAGTCTCCCAATAGCCCGACGATGGCATTCAACCGTGCCATCAGAATTGCTCAGCGGTCCTCTCGACTGCCCCGCCCCACGGCGATGCTGCTCCTCTCGCCACGAGGGCCGAGATAAGGCCGCTGGCATCCGCCACCCACGGATTTCACCGTGGTCTTGGGAGGCCATCAGTTGGCTTGTGCTCCCGTTGGGCAGTCTCGGGGGTCCCTTGCGGCTCTCTTGGGCCGTCTTTGGGGACCTATTGAGTCGTCTTGGGGTCTTGGGGCTCCCTTGGTAGTCTGAGGGCTCTCTAGGGGCCGTCGTGGACCTGTCCTGGGGCCTTTGTGGCCGTCTAGGGTCTTTCTCAGGCCGTCATGGGTACCTCCAGAGGCTCTCTTGGGTCAGCTTGGGGCTCCCTGGGCCGACTAGGGGCCCTCTTGGATCTTCGACCAACATGCTTGGATTGGTTTGTGTGCCTCTCGGAAGCCTCTTGGGGTCTATTCGGCACTTCCGCGGAGCTGTTGGGTGACTCTTGAGGCAAGGCTGGGCCATCTTGGCGGCCTTGGTGACCCTCCCTGGCCGTCGTGAAAGCCGCGCAGAGACTCGCTCGAGAGTTCCAGGAAGGCGTCGGGGCGCCCGGGAGTCCTCGGGAGGGGGACGGTGCACGCAGAGCTTTGTGAGATAAGAGGAGGCTATTCACAGACTTACAGAAGCCCAGCCAGGCAGCACTCGGTATTCTACAACGCCTCAATGTGCCAGAGTGGTCCTCCGTGTGCAACTGCGGAGGTCTTGGATAGGGAATGTGGAATGTGCCGATGTCGCTCGCGACTGCGACCGCGACCGCGACGTCGTTCTGCTGCTACTGCTTGTCCTCAGGCCTCTGGCATACCAGGCTTCGTCTGCGCACCCTCGGTCTCTGCTGCTCCGCCCCTTGCCGCGATGAACCGCGTGGTGCTCGCCGTGTTCGCCCTCTTGCTCTCCAGTCATGGCTGCGTCGCCGATGAGCAGACCACGACCATGGAGGACCATTGCGGAATGCCGTAGATGTAGGGATGGACAGAGATTCGGTCCCGCTTGATCTTATCGTCCTTAGCATCCAGCCTGGTTCTGTTGACGTGAGTGCAAATTTGTTCGAGGGTTGCGGAACAAGGGGGGAAGATCGCTGGGGCGTCAGGGTGTTGCGCTTGCCGCGCCCGCGTTCTGCCGGTGTCTTCTCTGCGAGCTGGCCCCGCCGCGGCCTCGCTTCTAGATCTCTGGCGTTTCACCATGCAGTTGTCGCCATCACCCTTCCTCTGAGCTGCTCTCATTCACCGTAAGAAGTTTTCGAAGAAGCCTCTAAGAAGGCGTCGATCCCTTCTCGGAAACACCTTCCTCCATGGCGCACCGATCGGCCTGGGTTGCGGCATGCTCGCAGAGTGCTCGCAGTTCGGCTGAGGCTCGCTCGACAGCCCTCGTAGCCCAATAGCAGTCCGCTGCTCTCCGATGGCCTTCCGTCAGCTCATTGCTAGCTTGCTTGGCTGGCCTCCTGGGAGCTGCGACGTTGTCTTTCGAAGAGAGGGGTTGAACTCCTGGTGCAGGTTCTGCAGGGATTGTCTAGGATTACTTCGTTTCCTGGGCGCGGGTCCCGGTAGCGTTCCTCCCTGCTCTCTGCTCCCCCCTCCCCCCCCCGCACCCGGGCCGAGGAGCGCCGCCTGACGGACACCACCATGGGCGACGACACGACGAGCGCCGCGCCTCGCACTGGAAGCCCAGGCACCGTGCTCCTGGCGCTCCTCGCCTTCCTCTACGTGGGCAGCGCGGCGGGTGCGGCGCTGGACGAGTCCACCACGATGGCCGACGAGCGCCGCCTGACGGACACCACCATGGGCGACGACACGACGAGCGCCGCAGCTCGTAGTGGCGCCCTTGGAACCATGCTCCTGGCGCTCATCGCGTTCCTGTTCGTGGGCAACGCGGCTGGGGCGGCAGTGGACGAGTCCACCACGATGGCCGACGAGCGCCGCCTGACGGACACCACCATGAGCGACGACACGACGAGCCCCGCGGCCCCCCGCGCGGACGGCCGTTCAGGAACGGTGCCGCTTTTATTTGTTCTCTTATGTCTTGTTGTTGCTTTTTTCTCTTGTTTTTTGGTCCGGTGTTTTTAGCTTGTGTTTTTTTGGTGTTTGTTTATTTTTTTTGATTTGATTTTGTTTTTCCCCCTTTCCCTTTCTTTTTTGTTTTTAGTTTTTTTAGTTCATGTTCTATACTCGGTTTGTTTTTTTAGTTTTTTTTTTGATCTTTTTCTTTTTAGGGTTTTGGTTGTTTTTTAGGTTCTCTTTGTCTTTTTCTGTTCGCCCTTGCTGCGGCGCTCGGTCTTGCAGCCCATCGCTAAGCGCTAAGCTCTGAAAGGGGCACGCTTGTAGCAGGCTGTCTTCCAGGCTTCCAAGCCTTCCCTCCCATGAATTCCATTCAGGCCACTCCTGCTTTGGTGCAGCGGCAGGGAGCCCTTGCAAAGGCCTGGGCTGCGGCCGAGGCATCTTGCCACGCCGTCCGTCTCCGTGAAAGATGAGGACCAGGAGGCTTGGCATTTTTCAGGTCCGCGAGGGACTCAGACTGCGGCGTGCGGTTGGTCACGGGCCATATCAAGCGTAAACTTCGGCCGAGGCCAACCTCAGTTGCAGCGGCCTTCGAAAAGGCGCGGGCCGCTGGCTTCCCTGGGGGCGGCCGATCCTCGATGTCGTGGTACCCGTCCCTCGCGCATCTGAAGAATTCGGTGACGGACTTGAAGAGTTCCGTACTGGATCATTTGCTACGGCACGTGGTCGCAGCGGCAGCGAGTGCCAGGGTCCGCCTGCCACATCGAGCGCAGATCTCGGATGCCCACACCGGATGCCTGCGGATCAGCCACAGTGCCACCTTGCCCGTTGAAACAAAAATTCTACCATTGACCGCATGAGGTGAACATCGTGACGAAGTACTACAACAAGCGTTATGTCTGTGAACGCGTGAATGCTTTCAGACTGACCGATGCATCACGCATGTTTGAATGTTGGCTGTCGCTCGTAGCTGGCATCGCCAAACAATGCTGTCCATGACGACGTGCCTATTCGCTGTATAACCCAACTGCTTCGGGTTATGCTTGGAGATCACATTCCACGCAATGACAATACCCACGCGGTTACCCAAAAGGGGCACGAGTGGATCCAATGCATGTTCAATCACATTCCTTGTTGCTTTCATGTGTTTCGAACTGGACCCAGGAAAACAATCATTTATGGTGCCCCGGTGGCCTCTACGGAAGGTGGCCCCTCTTAAGAACAAGGCCGCTGACTCATGCGATGACACGTTGACGGCGACATGGCTTGCATTTTTGTATTGCCCGAAGTCGCCGAGCTGGGCATTCTTGATGGCATGGTCGGTGAGTGTCGTGGAGGTGCCGAGCGAGTCGGCATTCGTAGTTCTGTGGGGCCGCAGCGGCACTCCGCTCACGAAGAGCTTGCCGCAACCGGGAACCACACCATCGTCGTAAATTAAAAAACAGCTTGAAGGCCCAAACATCCACGGGTCTCGACCTGTCGACCACTTCCACGGGATCGGCTTCTCATCCCGAGCCGTTCTCTGACGGCCCCGAGGCCCAGCAAGGGTCCTGAGAGGACGAAACCTATAAAAAACCCGCGTTTCGATTTGTTCGAGAGGCTCTATGTCTGGGGAAGCGTGTGCAAGCACGATCTGGATACGCTGCAGTTCGAGCCAGAGTGGCTACGGAGCGCCGCGGGGGGCCACAGTCCCGAGCGGCCTCCTGGTCGGGGGCGGGGCGGGGGGATGCGACCTCCCAGAGTGGCATGGGGGGGCCTCTCTGGCCAGGAGGCCTCTTCAGAGGACAGAAAACCCACCCCCCCTCATAGTCACCCCGACAAGCGGAGCCTGTTAGCGAACGCCCCCCAGGAAGGAATCGCGTTTCGTGGACGCCGGTTGTCGGAGGCTGGGTGGTTTTTCCTCCCTGGACTCTTCTCGGGGGTCCAGGCATACCAGGCGTCTCGACGAAACCGAGCAGAGGGCTGTAGTACATTTCGGCATCCTCCTCCTCCTCCTCCTCCTCCTCCTCCTCCTCCTCCCCCTCCTCCTCCCCCTCCTCCTCCCCCTCCTCCCCCTCCTCCTCCTCCCCCTCCTCCAACGAACCACGGCTCGGGATGGCACGCCGGGCCCGGGGGAGAGTGGTCGAGAGGTCGGGGGCCCGCGCCTCGAACAGGGTCGACCCGCGAACCCAGAAATGGATCTAGAATTGCCCCAGCGCTGGCCATATCCTCCTCCTCCTCCTCCTCCTCTCCGCCCCTCCTCTCCCTCCTCCTCCTCCTCCTCCTCCTCCTTCCTCTCTCCTCCTCCTCCTCCTACCTCTCCCCTCATCTTCCGCCTCCTCATCCTCTGTTCTCCTCCTCCTCGTTCTCCTCCTCCTCGTTGCTCATCAGCCCCTCCCCTCATCCTCCTCCTCCTCCTCCTCCTCCTCCTCCTCCTCCTCCTCCTCCTCCTCCTCCTCCTCCTCCAGGGAGCGCTCAGCCCAGACATCCGGCCGCTCACGCGCGGGCCCTCGCCGGGAGGAATGGGCAGCTGCAGCGCTCAAGGCATCGGTGGCGATGCTACTGTGCCGTGGAGCCGTGTGGTGCTTCTCTGCGCTGTGCCGTGCCAGAAGGCGCGCCGCGCGGTGTGCCAGGGGGACGCGCCACCGGACGCGCCACGGGAAGTTCCAGGGGGACGCGCCGCGGAACGTGCCAGTGGACGCGCCAGTGGACGCGCCAGGGGGACGCGCCGCGCGGTGTGCCCAGGGGAGGCGCCAGGGAACGTGCCAGGTATCGATGGTGATGCCACTGTGCCAGGGGCTGCGTTGTGCTTCTCTGCGCTGCGCCGCTCCGCGCAGTGACACGCCAGGGGGCGCGCCACGTGCTATGGGGACGCGCCACGGAACGTGCCAGGGGGACGCGCCACGGAACGTGCCAGGGGGACGTGCTAGGGGACGTGCCAGGGGACTCGCCGCGCTATGTGCTAGGGGCCCAGGCGCCACGGAGCGTGCCAGGGGGACGCGCCACAGAACGTGCCAGGGCGACGCTCCAGGGGACGTGCGAGGGAGCGTGCCAGGGGACTCGCCGCGCGACGTACCCAGGGGAGGCGCCAGGGCACATGCCAGGGAACGCGCCCGAGGGTCACGACCCCTCGTAAGTCACGCTGCGTCCGCGCTCCCACGGCCCTGACAGGGCCTACACAATCATGTCCTCGGAGAGCTTCCAGGAGCGTGATGCTCGTCGCCAGTCCGAGGCTTCCTCCTGGAAGGCTTTGCTCCTCCCTGCCCCTTGATCATTGATGAATCACCAGGCGGCGGCGGATGCAATGGCCTTCGGCCCTCCCGCCACCGTGCCGAGGGTTGTCGATGGTCTCGGGGGGCCTCTTGGAGGGTTCTTGCGGGCATCTTGGGGGCCTCCAGGGGCCTCGTGGGGGCCTCTTCGGTGCCTCTTGGGCGCCTAGCTTCGAGGGGGGTCCAAGAAAGGCCCAGGAGGGCATCAAAAGCTCGCTGAGAGATATTCCAGGACAGCACCCTGGGACGCCCAAGGTAAGTGCAATCAAGTCCCCAGGGAGGTGGCGCCTCCAGAGCGAAGCCCTGAGAGGTTCGAAACACCTGCAGCCTCTACGCGGTAAGTCGGTGTAGTGTCGATGCGGCGGCGACCCTGTGCGCAGGCCTTCACGGTTGAACGACCCCAGTGGTGGCGAGCCGGCCCGTATCCAACGATCTGTGCTATCGGGAGGCCGCGATCTTTTCCTCTCGCATTTCTGGGAAACGTAACGCTAGAATTCACCGGATCCCGGGTTTGCCGAAGCTTTTTGACGGGCCCGCCCTGAGTTTTGACGGTCCAGCTTTCCTGGGATGTCTGCATCGGGAGCTCGCGTCAGATTTCAGACTGCCTCGTAATTTCCCTGACGGTCCCGTCAGGCCAACCCGAGCCCCCAGAACCCGAGCCTCCCTTCCCCCGAGCGATGACGGCCGCTGCAGTTAGCCCGCGTAATACGGATGGGCAACCTTCCCAGGGTACCTTTGCATACCTGCCCCTTCGGCCCATCCTTAGCAGCCTTCGCTGGCCGACCTCTTTCGAACAACGTTAACATGGCCCTCCGAGGCCCTTCCATCCTTGCCGCGCATCCCTCTGATACGGGCTGACTGTGCTGGAGGGGTGGGGAGGGGACCCGTACCGTCACGATCCGCACCAGCGCCGACGTCGGCCCCCCCTCCTCCCACCCCCTTCTGTGCGGGACGCAAAAACGACCACAGCCACTGCTTTTCTTTTGTTGCCGCCTTCCAGCCAGCAGAAACAAAGCAGTGGTTGTGGTCATTTTCGTTAAGCTTGGCACCAGGGAAATGACCACAACCACTGCTTCTTTTTCGGCCGGCTGGAAGGCGGCGCAAACAAGAAGTAGTGGCTGTGGTCATTTTCTTGTCCCGCATTCTTCGCGTGGCTGACAAAACGCCGAAAGGCTTGAACCTCGGACCCCAGTTGAGTGTGGGGAGACCAGTGGGCATCGATACCGCTACGCCCCGGACCTCTCCTGGGGTGAGTTGTGGCCAGGATTTCGAAGCGAATCCATCGGTGGCGACGAGGGCCTCCCAGGAGGCCCAAAAATGGGGAAAACGGGCGGAGGGTAGCGGTATGGGTTCCTTTTCATATAGTTTGTCGTCGGCTCTCGTCGGTTTTCCAGCATCGGGATGCTCTCCAGCAGCATTGCCTCGCCCCAGAGGGCGCGTTTCCAGGGGTGCCCGATCCTTCCGAGGCGATTTTAGGCACTCAAGAATGGCGAGGCTAACAGATGGGATCGGACCCGCGAAGCGATCGGCGATTGCGGCTCGATGTGGAGCCCCAACAGACCGTGGCCTCGCCTCAGGGAAAACTTTTTTTTTTTTTTTTTTTTTTTTTTTTTTTACTTTTTTTTTTCTTTTTTTTCCTTTTTTTTTTGTCTTTTTTTTTTTTTCTTTTTTTTTGTTTTTTTTCTTTCTTTTTTTTTTTTTTTTTTTTTATCCAGGGCCACCTGGACCTAACCCACACCCAGGCACGGCAGCTTTGAAAAAGGGGAATCCCACCAATGTTGGTTTTCCAAGTTCGCCCCCCCACCCCCCCTCCACCTCTACCCAAGACAGGCACGGCAGCTTGGAAAAAAAAAAGGGAGATCCAATTCCTTTTTTTTCAAGTTCGCCCCCCCCCCCCCCCTTTCTACAACAGACCGCAATTAAGGACCTCCCGCAGCTCCCAGAACAGAACCCAGGAAGCCTTTGAGGACCCCAAATCGTTGAATACCTAACGGAACTTACTGATTTCTCCGCTTCCGCAGTTCCTTTTCTGTGCGATTCCGAGGCATGCGCTGTGCCTCTAAGAGTCCCTGGATGCAAGAAGCGAAAAAAATGAGGCTCCATGAGCTAGTCCATCAAGCCCAGCTAGAACTGGAGCGCGCGCGAAGCGCGCGACAGTCCTTGTACTTATACATATACACGCATATATATATATATATATATATATATATATATATATATATATATATATATATATATATATATGTATATGTGTGTATCTATACACATACATACATACACACATACATGCATACATGTGTACCTATATACATAGACATATATGGGAGGTCCCGGCCCCGTGGCCCCGGGCCGGGTACATGGAGCGCGCCCCTCTCCTGGGACGCCCCTCCGGCGGCCCCCGGGGCTCGGACTCCGCCCAAGAGCATTCCCAAATCAGCCAAGACGGCTGACAGAGTGCACAGGAGGCCTCAAAGACGCCCCACGATGGCCTCAAGAAGGGCCAAGAGGCCCCCACGACGCCCCCAAAAAGGACCGACGAGGTCCCCCGGGTGGGCCCCGAAACGCAAAAATGGCCCCATACAAAAAATATGCATTTGTAGCATATTCGCCTATTGGGCTTTTCGCGCGTCCAAGTCGGCCCAAGAGATTCCCAAGACGGCCCAGTAGCCTCCCAAAGGAGCTCCAAGACTGCCACAGAGCGGCCCAAGACGGCCCAAGAGGCCCCCAAGACGGCCCAAGAGAGCTTCTAGACGGGCCCAATAAGGGGTCCCAGAGAGGGAAAACCAAGTTCAAATTTCGAGCCTTCGGCCCCAAGAGGCCCCTAGGAGGTCACCAGAGCCTCCCCAGAGGTCCCTCGATGACACCGCGACAGCCCCGAGGCGCCCCAAGACGCCCCAAGAGGCACCCAAGCGGTCCCCCAAGAGGGCCCCGAGAGGCAAACATAGCCCCACTCCCTTCGCAAAACGTACATGTTTTACAAGATTCGCCTCTTGAGCTTTCACAGCGTCCAAGTCGGCCCAAGAGATTCCCGAGACGGCCCAGGAGGCTCCCAAGAGGGCTCCAAGACGGCCAAAGAGCGGCCCAAGACGGCCCAAGAGGCCCCCAGGACGGCCCAAGAGAGCTTCTGGACGGGCCAATAGGGGTTTCAAAGAAGGAAAACCCAATAGGGGTTTCAAATTTCG